ATATGCTTCGTTTAATAAATGCTGCAATGAATGATGAACTATTCTTCAGCATTGCGAACCATACAGTCACAATTGTTGAAGCTGACGCTGTATACGTTAAACCATTTCAGACTGATGTAGTAATGATAACCCCGGGCCAAACCACCAATGTTCTTCTAAATGCCAAGCCATACTATCCCGGTGCTACTTTCCTCATGGCTGCTAGGCCTTACTTCACTGGCCAGGGCACTTTTGACAATTCAACAGTTGTAGGTATTCTAGAATACGAGCAGCCATTGAATCATACTTCCAATGCGAAAAAGATGGTTTTCAAGCCAACTCTTCCACCAATCAATGCAACCACTTTAGTTGCCAACTTCACTGGGAAGTTCCGTAGCTTAAAAAACCCTAATTTGACCGCAAGTGTTCCACAAATGGACAGGATATTCTACTTCACTACGGGACTAGGTTCGAGTCCATGCCCTAAAAATATAACTTGCCAAGGACCTAATGGCACAAAATTTGCTGCTTCAGTTAATAATGTTTCTTTTGCTCTTCCCACTACAGCTTTATTACAAGCCCATGTCACCAAAAAATCTAACGGTGTCTATACCACTGATTTTCCCATCAACCCACCAAATCCATTTAACTACACGGGGACTCCACCCAACAACACCCTAGTGAGCATTGCAACCCGTCTTGTTGAATTGCCATTCAACACCAGTGTGGAGCTTGTTCTCCAGGACACCAGCATTTTGGGCGCTGAAAATCACCCTCTTCACCTACATGGCTTCAATTTCTTCGTTGTTGGTCAAGGATTTGGAAACTACAACGCAAAACAGGACAGAAACAATTTCAACCTGGTGGATCCTGTTGAAAGGAACACAATTGGCGTTCCAGCCGGTGGTTGGGTAGCCATTCGATTCCTAGCAGACAATCCAGGTGCGAATTACACAACATTAGTTACTTTTGCAAGGCAACTTTACATGCATGGTGTGTGATTCACTAATTTGTCTACTATTCCATATTGTGATATATGTGTTTACTTTCACCTGTTGAGACATTTACTTTGTGAGAAAGTGAAAAGTAGATGCATTGGTGTACTGAGCTGAGCGCATGAAAGTGTGTTACTTATGGCTTATGGGGAACTAGCAGTGGTAACTGGTATCATTTATTTATATTATGAACAGGAGTGTGGTTTATGCACTGCCACTTTGATGTACACACAAGTTGGGGTCTGAGGATGGCTTGGATTGTAATGGATGGGCCACTACCGAGTCAAAAGTTACCACCACCACCATCAGATCTTCCAAAATGTTGACAGCTTGATTGAATCCTTGTGGACTCCTCCATTTTGAGTTTTCCTGTCTTCCTATCTGAATTAATTAATGTATTTCTTTTGTTGAGTGTGTAGTCAGAAGCGAGATAAGTCCTTCAATTGTGTTACTTCAATCCACTCGGAAAAAAAATAGAGCGAACAGTTGAAGAGGCGACTTGGGGTTTTTTTAATCTTTGTACCTTCACTTTCAAAACACTTTAATTTTCAGTTTTCAAGATGTGATACAGATACAGTTCTTGTTACTTCTTTTCCTTGCATTCTTCTCTTAGTAAGTCTGACTCTAAAATAATTTCACAAGTAAAGAAGAAAGAAGATTATGGACAGGATGAAGCAATACATTCATGGAAAAACGGATCAATGAGTACCTGAAGAAGATTTTACCTCAGTTCTGAACCAGCTGAAGTGTAGAAAATCAATACCCGAGACACTTCAACTGCTGTATGAATCTAGAAAACAACTACAGGAAAAAAAACTTGCATACATATAAAGCAAGCCAGTAAAAGTGAAGGATAGCCTAGCAAGCATGAAAGGAAATGCCAAAAATAAAAAATAAAAAATAAAAAAAATCTACAATGTAATGAAATCTCCCGATCCAATATCAAAGAGAGACAGAGAGCAGATCATGCAAAGCTGTTGTGTAGATCTTTTTTCCTTAGCAACCACAATATAAAACTCCCACAACAAAAAGAAAAAGAAAATAGGACAAATGGACAATGTAAAATGATAGAACAAAAGTTGGTCCATATCATTTCAGTGTTTAATTACGATATAACAATACAGGCTGGATCGATTAAGGGAATCTTTATTCTCACGCTGGTCATCTAATGGGCTATACACAGACAAATAATTGTATATTTAGCCATCTATATATGATTGATCTTTGTCACAGCGTAAGCATGGAAAAGTACTGTTCAAACTCCTTATCAATGGTTAGCTTCTTTGTCGCCGGTTGAGTATCTGCATCTGGAGAAACACAATATTCCTTATTAGTAAACGGCTGGGGAACATACATTAGAGTTAACATGAGATCCACATACAGAGAAAGAGAGAGAGACTCAACTTAAACGGACATGGGGGGGAAGGCCTTGGG